TTGCTTTTCCTTCATCATGGATGCTGAGGTATAATACTCCACAGTCTCCACTTTGCTGAAGCAGACCATTTTTTTTAACCAACCTCAGTCAATTCTGGAATTAAAAAAAAAAAAGTTTCCTTAACACATGGAAGGTGGCATATACTGCTGGAAAATGCCCCAATAAACACACATTCATGTTAGCTTTGCCCGTTGACATGCTATATGGCGTGTCTGGAAGTTGCATTAATATATTCCACAGTCTCCACTTTTTTTTGTTTGTTTTTTTGTTGCCTAAACCTCACCGCATGGAACATGGCATATACTGCCAGAAATGGCAAGACCAAACACGCACGCAAATGTTAGCTTAGCATGTTGCTATGGTTAGCCGAGTCCATTGCTGTATCGTACTCCCCAGTCTCTACTTTGCAGCAGCGGCCCGTTTTTGTTGCTGTCCTCTGTCTCTTCCTGCATAGAATGTACATCTTTATCCACATGAGACATGGCACTTACAAGGCTTAAACAACTAGAATTGTCACTAATTAATATGCATGCTTATATTAGCTTTGCCTGCTGCTGTGCCTTGCCTTTAGACACTGCAGTATAATACTATACTCCATAATCTCCACCTGCAGGGATCCGTTTTCATGCTGGCCTCAGTCTCCATTTTGAATAAACGTTGACGCCACCCCTTTAGCAAGAAGTAAACGTAACAGACATCCAGTTTCATTTTTTGTTGTCATGTCGTCGAACTGATGCTTCGCCCACTGCCCCAAACCAAGGCGAGACACCGTGCAGTGCGAAAAGGGCATCAACCTGCCCTGATGCCACCCCGACACTACAAACAGTTGCACTGTGTTCATGCTGATGTGTGTCCCTCTGCCCCGTTTAAAATGTGCAATTTGAACCCCACAGAAACCAGCACCTGCAGGAGATGTCAGACTGACTCAGGTAGAGCTGCTTTCTCTTCCTGGCTGCAGTATCTCTTGCCTTGTGACATAAACATACATACCCTGGTGGGTAGGGGGTCCGCCCACTCCCTCCATCGCCACCTGTTCTCTGTCTAGCATCCCTCCATCCATCCTCTTCCCCCCCTCTGTGCGCTCGTGTCTGTTGTCCTGCCAGAGGTCACGGATGAAATTCACTTCAAAGGTCCTACCAGTGCTGTAAAATGCATTTTTTTTGGGAGACTGCACATCTTAACAAGTCTTTAAAAGGTGTTAGTTGTTTCATTCCGAGCCTGGTTTCTGTCAGCTGTTCAATTTGATGGCTGAACAGAGAGGAGGCGGAGCAGGATGAGGGTGGGGGCATCACTGCTTAAATGGCTTCCATCACATTCCCGCAAAAAGCATGACTCCCCCCTCCCTCATCCACGGGATTTTATTATCCCTTCATTCTGCATAATATTTAGCGCCCACGCGGTGTAGATTTACCTGCCAGTGTTTTTTTTTTTTTTTTTTTACGGATGTTTCCTTTAATCATCCCACACATTGTCTCTCAGGGCTGCATTGTTTGTTGCTGCACATTTTCCATGTAGTCTTTTTACTCTTTTGTCTGTGTTTATCGGCACAAATATAATAGAGCCGCATGCACTTGTACGTGTTTTTGTTATCAAAGCTCATCACCGGCGCGCTGGAAAATAGCGTCATTTGAGGGAAGGTGCGAGCACAGGCACTGCCGCCCTAGCGAGAAGAGTGGGGCACACTGTATGTGCATATTGTTGGATTTCAGATTTCTGTCCAGCCCAGTTACTGTGATGTCCCAGCTACTGCCATTTTGTTTTGGGATTTCCCACAATCCACAAGAATAACTATTTTTAACATGTACATACATGTAAGTGTTTTTAAATGTAAAAAAAAAAAAAAGAAAATTTTAACCAAATCAACTGTACTTTTAGCTCTCGGAAATGTGTTTGCATGCTGTCATGCGCATGCCAGAACAACAGGCGGCGCTGTGATGCTTAACCATACGGCCATTTTATTTAGTTTCGACTGAAAATGACGCGTGTGACGTTACAAAAGCAAAAATCACGCCAGAAATCAATGCAAATACAAAATGCAAATACATGTATTTTGTTTTTGTACTCTTTTGGAAGAAGAGGAAGACAACTATAAGGTCACCTCAAATACGACTTTCTCCATTCTGCTTTGCAAATGTTATTGTATTTTTATGTGCCCGTCTGGCACTCTGAATAATTATGCATTTCTCTGGTGACTCAACGTAAAGAAGCATTCTCACCTCTTGTCCTTGAATATATGGATCTCATGTGGCATATTTTGGATTTTTCCTTGCAAGGCTTTGCCTTTAAATTGCATATGCGCACATTGACGAAGCAACTGTCAAAGGCGGTCGACCAGAGCTCAGTCATTATTTCTGGAGGTGCATTGTCATAAAAAAACACACACTTTAATGAGTTATAAAGGCCTTAGAGCCCTAAAGCAGGGCTTATTTCCCGGCTGCGCATCCCGTGTTAAAGTGAATCAGTCTCAAATGCATTGCCACGTGTTCGAATGCATCACTGGACTCGGCTAACTTGAGAAAAAGCCACCGATTGCTAGCCAGCGATAAGTGCTTCCTGTTATGATTGCGCAAAGGCATTTCCTCTGTGACGTGTATCGGGAATGCGGAGGAGAAAATTACATTGTCGAGTCGAGCCAATGTTTATTTGACGTTCATGACATTGTATAATCAGCATTCGACAGCAACTTTTGGCGCGGCTCCCTACATGCACAGGCGCTCGTCGAGACGTCATCAAATAACATTGCTTGCTGCTCAATCAGAAAGGTGTACGGCGAGCCTGCAAGTGGAAATGGGGACGGAACGCATCCTGGAAATTCAAGCCTTGTGACGTGAGCAGACGATCTATTCCCAGATCTCTCCTGTTGCTCTATTTACTCCCAGCCAGCGAGCGTTTATTCTTGTGTACGATTATAAATTGGCCTCTGAAAATGATATTTACACACCCGCCACGATGCCGCCTTTCTCTCATTACGCAATGGTCCCCCCCCCCTTTGTACTCTCATTTACTCTTCTTATATTTATAAGACAAAAGTCACTGTTCAGGATGTCGGCTTGCATTCATGAGCATCGGTCGTAAACTGCATCTGGACGGCAATCAATAACCATAAGGGATTTTGTGTACGGATTCTTTTTATAAACCAATTCAAGTCAACCGTTTCCTCAGTCATGATGTATTCTTCCGCCACTCCGTTGCTTCTGTTTCTGTTGAAGTCCTACAGCCTGACTCTAAAGGCATTGTCATTTTTCTCGTCACTGTTCTTGCAGTCTTGGACTGGCTATATGTCAGTCATTAAATATAGTAGCGCTGATGTCATTCAGCTTGATGTAACTGTCACGACCTAATTTGTAAATCTAACCTATCTGGAGGAAAAGGTGGGTCATGGCGCTTTGTTGTTGACTTGGTGGGTATTGCCGAGGTTTGGGGTCGGGAGGGTCACATAAATTGGATTTAACACGTTAGAAATGATCATGACGCAGCAACAGTATTTGGAAAAATGACATAGGATCGCTAGAGCTTCTTCGGAAAGTTAAATCCGCTAACATTTGTAACAGTTTTCCTCATCAGGACAATACGAGATGAAAATCCGGATCCACGCTCTCTTGTTGGATCATTTCAATCAAGTAAACCTTTTGCTGAGGTGGAAATTCACGACCCCAGTAGCCCTTCTTAAAAGTTTACATTTTATTTTTGTCCTGGCGTAAATTGCGGACTATGAAAATAACCACGACGATGTTGTAACACGCTAAGTTATTGTTTTGTCGTATAACTCGCTCAAATTTCCTCACTTCTCCATTCTTCTTTCCAATTCTTTTTCTTTCGTGGCCTGTTTTTTTTTTCTTTTTTCATTCGTGAAGAAAAGTAACGCCACCTTTTTCCCAAGCCAAATCTTTTTTGTTGGAATGCAGGTGTGAATGTCACCATACCGTATGAGGCAGTGGTGTCGGCAGGGCTTTTAACACCGGCGACTGGGAGGTGAAGACAAGGCCACACGCTGCGCTAACCAAATATGAATGCATCCCCCCCCTTCGCTCCATTATGAACGACTCGTGGCTTTCGTCGTTTGCGGCAACTGGGGTGGGAAAAGTCATGAGTCACCGCCGCTTTCCTCTTGAGCCGGAGCGACAGCAGCGATTGGCTTGCAGCTGACGTTTAAGTCGAAATGGCGGGTTACTAGCTTGGAGAGTCAGCGGCCGAGTGCGGAGGTGGTGATTTAGTGGAGAGATAAGCGGCGCGTAATAGCAGGGTAGAATCATTCCTCCTAAATGAGAAGGCTTGACGCTCTCCACCCACTGGGACTTTCTTTCTGCCCCTTTTTTTTTTCTTTCTTTTTTTTTTTTCCTTTTGGCTGTTTCACACTTATTTTAAACACAATGTTGGATTTGAGTCACTTTGGTTTGAGCCAGGAACGACAAGATGAGTGACACATAGTGAAATTGTGCTGTCGTTGTTGAATGTATTCGTATTTTGATCTTAAATATTATCCACAGTACATTTTTTACAATTTTTCAGTCATCATTCATGTATATAGTGTATACAGTCTTGAACTGGATTTATTTTGGGCCAAATTCTAGAAGACTTTGCAGAGGGGGGTACATTTTGGTCAGAATCCCTTTAAAGGTACACATCACAGAATTTGCTTTGATGGTTTGAGCCGCTATTAATTAAACAAGTCCGCCCCTGAATCATATCGGTTTTGTTTTGTGAGCGTATATGAGCAAAGCAGTAGCCCCCTAACTCGAAAAACCAATAGTTTGCCTTCCTGAAGATCTCGGCTCCACTGAGTAACAAGTTATGTGAGGTGATTAAAGCGTGGCATAAGACATCTGCACAGTCGTATATTTCGAGTCAGGCCGCCCTCTCGAGGCTTGCGCAAGATGACAAGACATCGAGGGAAACACTTGAGTCCTGGCCGCCGCAGTACATTCTGGGAGTCTTAACTCATATGTTGTGTCCGTCTGTGTGTGTGTGTGTGTGTGCGCATGTGTTGTCGTATTCGCAGCCCTGCTGTCGTCGTGGTGCGAGGAGCTGGCTCGTCTGCTCCTGGTGCGTCACCAGAAGAACAGGCAAAACGAATCGCAGGGAAAAGTGCCCATGCAGCCCAGCATGAACAGCATGAAGGCCGGCCTCACGCACAGGTCAGTGTTCATCCCCGAAGGTGGCACCAAATAAAAGGTTCACCTGCGCAATCCAATGAGATGGAAAATGTGCCTTTATAAACATCAGAATATTCACTTTTGAGTGACAATGGTCTTAAAAAAAATGTGTGGATTATTGTGATTGCACCAAGAGGTGTTCAGTTTAGGCAGTAGACGGAATACATTTGGCTGATGATTTATAATGTGGCCACATCCAACAGTCTACTCAGTACCACGGGTCACTCGGCACGACGCATTCTTGCGAGGCAGCGCTTCGTACAATACACTCTGTGTAGGTGGCGCAGGCACACATCACCCCGAAAAACAATTAGTACTACCGCATTGAGAACTTCCTTGAGCATTGAAATAAATATCTTCAGAAGCAAACACTCCTGGTCTCGGGGTGTGCGTCACAAAAACCAGTTCGATAGAGTTTTTTGATGCACGGGGCGCAAAACGAATCAAGGGTGGTTGGATTTGAAAGTGGAACGATTCCATTTGGTTCGACTCAGCGGAGTTACGATTCGATTCGATGTGATTCGACTCTTTCAAGAGGGTATAATGTACTGATATAAGCTGTTTATCTCTGCTTTTTTTATTTTTTGACCGCAGCACCCAGCTTTATTGCGCTCCAAAATGGCAACCTCCAACCAAACCTTAAAAAAACTTTTAGTGGTCAAAGGCTGCTTTCTCACTGCGACCCTTACTTATTTTTTGCCAGCATTTCATACGATTTCCTCTTTAAAAATTGGACTGAATGATGAAAACGGACTCCACTTCATTGTGCTCTCTTCCAGGAAGGGCTTCATTAAACTATTCTGTTGAAGTCATTGCTCATGCAGTCTTCAAGGACACACAGGATTTGCATTTTTTGGAGTGCAAGGCAGAATTACTTTGAAGGGTGCTGAGCAGATTTAAGGAGGGGTTGGGACGAGGGGGGGGGACCAGCAGGGAAGACTTAAGTAATGTTTTTGGAGAACATTGTGTGCTCATGACACTCAATCAAACAGGAGGGTTGAAGTAAAACACACATAAAAAGAAAAGAAAGACAGCCGGAGTTCACCAAGATTCCTGCTTGGAGTCTGAGAAGGATCTTTGTTGTAATATTGTTCCCGTTGGAGGAAATATTGAACATGTCATTCATCTCGAGCTCTAACCTCAGAGAGAAAACAAGCTCTCGTCCAAAAATAGCAGCTTCTCCTGCACCCTGCGCTTGGCCACTTGCCTCTCAACATCTGGTTGTTTATTGTAGGGAACCCGGTGCTCGGATTGTTTTAGATGGGAATGCCTGGCATTCCGAGCCATCGGGACAAATCCGAGGCGTTTTTCAACAAGTCATGTTGAGCTTTTTCATTTTTAAGGGAGGTGGTTGCATATCAGCACATATTCTGGAGCTGAGGCGTTTTTGTGAAAAGCAACTTTTCATTGCCCAACACTTTTGGCACCACGACCAAAGCAGTTTCCTTTTTTTTTTTTGGATAGATGTGTTCCTCTGCCGGCCGGCTCTCTATTGGCTAGATCCCGTGTGTGTTGAAATGCCATGATAGTTTTTTTTTTTTTTTTTTTCCTTTTGGCTGTTTCACACTTATTTTAAACACAATGTTGGATTTGAGTCACTTTGGTTTGAGCCAGGAACGACAAGATGAGTGACACATAGTGAAATTGTGCTGTCGTTGTTGAATGTATTCGTATTTTGATCTTAAATATTATCCACAGTACATTTTTTACAATTTTTCAGTCATCATTCATGTATATAGTGTATACAGTCTTGAACTGGATTTATTTTGGGCCAAATTCTAGAAGACTTTGCAGAGGGGGGTACATTTTGGTCAGAATCCCTTTAAAGGTACACATCACAGAATTTGCTTTGATGGTTTGAGCCGCTATTAATTAAACAAGTCCGCCCCTGAATCATATCGGTTTTGTTTTGTGAGCGTATATGAGCAAAGCAGTAGCCCCCTAACTCGAAAAACCAATAGTTTGCCTTCCTGAAGATCTCGGCTCCACTGAGTAACAAGTTATGTGAGGTGATTAAAGCGTGGCATAAGACATCTGCACAGTCGTATATTTCGAGTCAGGCCGCCCTCTCGAGGCTTGCGCAAGATGACAAGACATCGAGGGAAACACTTGAGTCCTGGCCGCCGCAGTACATTCTGGGAGTCTTAACTCATATGTTGTGTCCGTCTGTGTGTGTGTGTGTGTGTGCGCATGTGTTGTCGTATTCGCAGCCCTGCTGTCGTCGTGGTGCGAGGAGCTGGCTCGTCTGCTCCTGGTGCGTCACCAGAAGAACAGGCAAAACGAATCGCAGGGGAAAGTGCCCATGCAGCCCAGCATGAACAGCATGAAGGCCGGCCTCACGCACAGGTCAGTGTTCATCCCCGAAGGTGGCACCAAATAAAAGGTTCACCTGCGCAATCCAATGAGATGGAAAATGTGCCTTTATAAACATCAGAATATTCACTTTTGAGTGACAATGGTCTTAAAAAAAATGTGTGGATTATTGTGATTGCACCAAGAGGTGTTCAGTTTAGGCAGTAGACGGAATACATTTGGCTGATGATTTATATTTGGATTCTATCAATCAATCACAATTGTGTCTTCGCGGTTGGAAAAAGGTTTTCAACTGCTACAAATTGTTTCGGGGGGGGGGGGGGGAGTGGGCCAACCAAACAGGC